GATGGACCCTGTGGAGGGTGACAGACCCCACGGGGGTGACAGATCCCAGGGGGGTGGCTGCACACAGGGCAATGGGTGGCTTCGCTTCACACGCGCGCACACACACACACACACACACAATCACACAAACAGGCACACAATCACATGCGTGCGCGCGCACACACACAACCACACACTCAATCACACACTAACACATGCACTCACATGCACACTCACAATCACACACAAACACATGCACTGACACACTTACAATCACATACACACGCAATCACACTAACACATGCACACTAACACACATGCAGTCACATACAATCACGCACTAACACACACAACCACACACTAACACACACAATCACATATGCATGTGCACACATCCACACACAGTCACCCACACCCACAGACACACACACACACTCACAATCACACACACACAATGACGCACCTACACACAATCACCCACACCCCCACACAATCGCACACACACTCACACACAATCACACGCACACAGACACATGCACATGTTCACACACACTCAGCGACACACACACACACACACAATCACCCACATCCAGACACACGCACACATTCACACACACTCACACCCACACAATCACCCACACCCACACATGCACACATTCACACACACTCACAATCGCACACACACTCACACACAATCACACGCACACACAGACACATGCACACGTTCAAACACACTCAGCGACACACTCACACACACACAATCACCCACATCCAGACACACGCACACATTCACACACACTCACACCCACACAATCACCCACACACACCCACACACTCACACCCACACAATCACCCACACCCACACATGCACACATTCACACACACTCACACAGACACACTCACACCCACACAATCACCCACACCCACACATGCACACATTCACACACACTCACACAGACACACTCACACCCACACAATCACCCACACCCACACATGCACACATTCACACACACTCACACAGACACACTCACACCCACACAATCACCCACAC